CGCTTTGAGGAGCGACGAGCAGTCGCGGGTGGGTAGGTCTAGTAGCAGATTTCTCGCAGCTTTTATTATTTTAAACACGGCTACCGGCCTCAGAGTGTCGTCTTCGTGCCCTGTTTCATTTCTGATGGCTAAGGACAAAGTCATCAGGATACCATAACCAGCTGTCCCCATGACTAGCAGTAAATTCCAATCGGGCGTATTTTTACAGGCAGCTACACTCACACTTCTCTTACTATTTCCTACATGAACTTATTTTCCTTGCACATACAAACATGTCATTAACGGGGTTTCTGTTTGGTAACGTCGACGAAGACGGGAAGCTGTCAGACACCGAGCTCGACGACGAGCTGCGCGACACGCTTGGCGGCGAGGGGGCCAGCAACTATCTGACCGGCATCCTCGGCTCCAGCCTCTTCAACGAAGCGCCCGAAAAACCCACATCAACGCAAGCAGCCGCACCCAGGAGCGACTCGCCATCAATAAAGCCGCACGCGGACGCAGTTGACTTCTCAGATTTTAACGAGCTCGCAGACGACGCCGCGGTGCCCAAAAAATGGCGGGCAAACATGCTGCCATCACAGATACCACTGAGTGTGCGGCCTCAGGCGACAGTGGCCAGGGCAGAGGTCGACGATGACTACGATTCAGAGGAGGGGGATGCACAAGGCAACGGTGCGATGGAGAGCGACGCAGAGAGCCTGGAGGATCTGTTTGACTCACCCGCCAATCCACCAGCGCAGAGCACAGGCGAAAGGGGCGAGGATAAGGACGTCGACGAGAAGAGGGAGCAAACACCAGAGCTGCCTGTGTTGGCGGATACCTCGTCAACGGAATCTGTTGAGCTGCCAAAGGAGCAGCCCCCGGCAGTTGTGCCCCGGGTGGTTAAGCGGATTGCACCGGGCCCGCTGCAATTCACCGACCTGTTTGGGTGCCATATCATCAGACATGTCAAGAAGCCTCGACGGCCAACGTCGAGCTCCAGCGCAGAGCAGCAGCAGCAGCTAATAGTACCGCAGCGCCCGGCTCTGGACACGCGCAAGCTACTGGTGGCAGATAGTGTTGTGGAGCGGCCTCGGGATTTCCTGCGGCAGGTCATTTCGCAGTCAATTGCAGCAGATGAGAACTCGCGGGTGTATGTCACGTTAGACGGCGAAACCGGACAGGTGACGTCGCAGAGAACTGGACCACGACAGAGCATTGACCAGCCATCACATCTGTTTGAGACAATGCCGTATCCGCTGGACCTGGAGGACTGGGAGTCGCAAGTGATCTGGCAGGATCCGGATATTTCGGGTGTACCGCATCCAGTCGATGTGAATGAAATCATGCTGCGGCCCAAGAACAACATGATCGAGGACTACGAGTCGCACATTATCTGGGACCCAGAGGAGCCGTTTGCGCCGTGCTCGCAGCTGCAGATCAACATGAACGACACGCACATGCTGTTCGAGGACGCCAACAGCATCAAGGAGTCAAATGCACGCGAGGCCGAGCGTCTGCGGCTGCTTGAGGGTGTGGACCAGTTCAACCTGTCGAACGACCACTTTTACGAGGCACTGCAGGAGGGCAAGGTGCATCGTGTGCGGCAGACATTCGGACAGCTGATCATTGCGCACTCTCTGCCAGCCCTGCGTCTGCAGCCGCCGTACTTCAAGATGCGGCTGGCACGCAATGACTTGCGCTCATGGCACCGGCCATTCCTGCAGGCACCGATCGAGAAGCCTGTGCAGTTTGCGCGTGTGCGGACAGCCAAGAAGCGCAAGCAGAAGCACTCGATGGAGAACCCGTGGGCGGCCAAGGACATCACGCTCAAGGATACAGCCGACTGCGTGCTGGTGGAGTATTCGGAAGAGTACCCGCTGGTGCTGTCAAACGTCGGCATGGGCAGCGTGTTTGTCAACTATTACCGCAAGCGCGGGATGAACGACAAGTCATTCCCCAAGGTTGACCTTGGCGAGCTGTTTATCCTCGATGTGGCGGATGTGTCGCCGTTCCTGAACTTTGGCAATGTCGAGCCCGGGCAGGTCATTCCAGCGCTATACAACAACATGTTCCGTGCACCGCTGTTTTCGCACAAGGTGCGGCCGACCGACTTTCTGGTTGTCAAGCACGTGTCCAAGGGCGAGTCGCGGTGGTACGTGCGTGGCATCCAGTACCAGTACTTAGTTGGCCAAACGTACCCGCTGCAGGAAGTTCCGGCGCCGCATTCACGCAAGGTCACCACCACAATCAAGCATCGGCTGCAGGTGGCCGCGTATCGGCTGATGAACCGCAACCAGTACCACCTGCTGCAGATGGGCAAGCTGGCGCGCCTGTTCCCAGAATACAGCGACCTGCAGATCCGCCAGCGGCTGAAGGAGTTTTGCGAGTACCAGCGCAAGGGGCTGGGCGCCGGGTACTGGCGGCCCAAGCACAACATGCCGATTCCTGACGAAGAGAATCTGCGCAAGATGCTGACGCCCGAGATGCTGTGTGTGTTTGAGAGCATGCGCGTCGGCCAGCAGCAGCTGCACGATGCCGGAAAACTGGGCGAGGAAGAGGAAGATGACGAGGGCGGCGAGTCGAAGCTTTCGATTGAGGAGCTGCTGGCGCCATGGAATCTGACACGCAACTTCATAAACGCGACGCAGGGCAAGGCCATGCTGAAGCTGTACGGTGAGGGCGATCCGACAGGCAAGGGCGATGGCTTCAGCTTTGTGCGGGTCTCCATGAAGGACATTTTCCTGCGGGCTGGCGAGAGTGTGCAGGAGAAGCTGGCCGAGATTGAGGCGCGGCCCAAGAGTGCCCACCGGTATAATGTGGCCGAGCAGCAGCAGATTTACAAGGAGGAGATTATGCGGATCTGGAAGACCCAGTTTGCGGAGCTGTCGAGCCTGCAGCCGCCGCCCAGGCTCCAGCGCGACGCATACAAGGACGAGAACACCATTGTGCCTGAAATCAACGACATGTTTGGCGACTCGGCCTACGGCCAGGATGTGTCGTCGGTGATGCCATCGCGCATGGTGCCGGGCAGCGCCATGGACGTCAGCCTGAAGCTCGCCCACGCGCTGGGCGGCTCGCAGACGGCCTCGCATGCCAACTTTGTGCAGCCGAACCGCAAGAGCCTGACCATCCGCCGCGCAGTCAAGTCGCCGTATACGGGCGAGCTGATGTGGCGCACCGAGGTGATCAAGGACTCGGCAGTGATCCAGGCGTATCTGCGCCAGCGGCGAATCATCGAGAATGCCGCCCACGACCGCGAGACCCAGTTTGACGCTGACGACTTGTTCAATGGCGGCACAGGTGTGGCTGTGGACTTGGCTGGCGAGACCCGCGCGCATCTGGCGAGGCTGAGGCGGGCGCGCGAGCGCCGAATGGAGGATGCGAGAGCCCATGAGAAGAGCCACATGACTACCTTCTCGCTGCCACAGCCAAACAAGCCCAAGAAGGAGGTGATCAGGCGGTGTGGCAATTGCGGCGAGCTTGGACATATGAAGACCAACAAAAAGTGCCCGCGCTACTACGAGTTCAACCCTGCTTGAGTAGAGTCGCCTGTGGCCTTGTGCATTGACTTCACATGGCGTCACATGCCTAAAGTGGGGTTGGTATGAAATACAGTTGACTTTTCTAGGCTCGGTGCAGTCTCAGACTCGAGTCGATGTGGGGTGCTTGATCAGCCCGGATCCGGGCTGGTGACCGATCCGCGGGAATTGACCGTCTATAAACATGCACGCGCGCGTGAAAATGTCTGTGCACCAGCAAAGCCAGTCCGTCAGCAGCCTGCAATAAATCTGTCTATTCCTGGAGCTGCATCTTGCTCCCACATCCTTACGTTTTCCCTGCACTCTCTTTTCATGGCCAGTAGACCCAATGAAGCACACTAGACACATATTCGATGGCGCACGTGCCGGCCAGAAAATCGCTGCCAACGTCTACCAGAGCACAGCTCCCGACACGACTGGTCATGGAATCACCCTGCTCCTGACGCACGCGAATGGATTCCACAAGGAGCTGTGGGAGCCGGTTCTTGAGCAGATATTTTCCGCACAGGCGACGCGCTCCTGGCATGTAACCCGCGCAATCGCCATGGACTGGTGGAACCAGGGCGACAGTGCTGCATTGAACCCTGATATGCCCGGCGGACCGCTCCATGCCCGGTGGTTCGACTATGCACGCGACATCCTGGCAGTTGTGCGGCAGCTCGGCGTCAGAAAGAACCTGGTTGGCATCGGCCATTCGTGGGGAGCGGCGAACTTGCAGCTGGCTGAGATTATGTCGCCATTGACCTTTGCTGGTCTTTTCCTTGTTGAGCCTGCGACTCCGACCGAAATCACCCCAGAGCAGAGCGAGTCACTGGCTGCCGTGGTGCGCAAGCGGCGGTTCCAGTGGAAATCGATGGAGGGCGCGCACGCCCATTTCGAAAACCATCCCTTTACAGAGTCATGGAATAAGCGCATGCTTGGGCTGTTCATTCAGCATGGCCTCATACATGGGGATGGCCAGTCCATGCTCAAGTGCTTGCCAGGTCCTGAGGCCGATGGCTTTGCTGCTACCGCCTACGGTGCCCCGTTTATCGGTCGGAATCTGTGGCGAATCCAGTGTCCGTGCGTGTACCTAACTGGATCCGAGTCGGACAAGGTGACTACAGAGTTTATCCGCGACCTGATCGCGCCGATGCCGGACTGCGAGCATTTTGTGGCACAAGGCCGGGGCCACCTTTTACTCCATGAGGACCCGGATCTGACTGCTGCACATTGCATCAGATCGCTGGATAAATTCGCCATGAAGCTTGGCTCCATCCCGAAGCTGTGACGCGGGTATGCCATCGATGTAATCTATTGCGTGGTTAATAAAGCGGGGCGTATTGCGATAGACACAGTCCTGCATGTGCGATACCAACACGACATGCATGAGGAGGGTGCAGCCAGCAGTACTGTTGTGATCTGTGCAAAACCTAGGGATGCAAAGGATATAAGCGGATATATGCGTGCACAAGCTTGCTGCTACTCCCCAAAAATCCTAATTTCCGTGTCCTCAGCTCGCACATTGGTGCCGGGCCAAAACTGCGGGCAGCGGGTGGTACTAACTGGGGGCAGAAGCGTGCAAGAAGAGCTGGCAGCAGTGGGCTGCTGTGTGGGTCATAAACTCCGTGCTCCACTGTGAATTGCCACTTTGAACTCCAGCTTTGGGCTACCAGGTCTAGCTTTTGCGGAGCAAGCAAACTTTATTTTCAGGAACGGGCTCCCATCCATACAACGCTGTGTTTCAAAATATTACAATAATAACTGTCGCAATGTGCGGCGACTACTGTCCAATGGCCTTGGTGGACTATTGAGGAGAGCCGTCCGCGTAATAGCCCGAGGCGATGCAATCGATACCCGCAGATTTGGGGAAGGGAGAAGGCGAGTTCTGGAATGCAAGGGGCCAAACGAGCGAACAGACAGGCAACGTTTCTATTGCTCTGTTTACTCCGAACTTGCCACATTGGGTAATTGACTCTACCCTTTATCCCGAAATAGCGCTTCCCCTGCCCCATCGCCCCCAATACCCCCGCCCCAGGCTGCTATCGCAGACGCCATCGATAAGCGATATTACCCACTCGCTACGCGCACGACGATGTCGGCATTGGACACGCAGGGCTACAGTGTCCGCAGGAAAACAGTCCTGCGTGGGCAGTAGACAGCCACCACGCTATAAAAGGACCAGCACGCGGCCGTGTCGTTGCTTCCAACATTCACTCAGACATCCAAACCAAACCAGTATCTGTCAATACGCTCACTACTCTGCATTCTCAATCTCCACGAATCACAAACCAAGTGGTCCTTGTCTATAGCCTTACTCTCAAAATATCTTTCTAATCTTCATGATCTCGAACCCAAAAATGCAGTCTTCGGTCTCTGCCCTTTCTCTCTATGCTCTGTCTGCCAAGCAGCAAGAGTTCCTGACCCAGATCGCTGGCTCATTCCACGTATCCGACGACCAGCTCTCGACCATCATCACCAAGCTCGAGTCTGAGCTTGCCCGCGGCCTCAAGACCAACGAGCAGTGCGAGCTGTACATGTCGCCGTCGCTCGTCAACTCCCAGAAGACCCCGACGGGCACTGCCCTCAGCATGGCCATCGAGTCTTCCGGCAAGCGCGTGCGTCTGAACTCTGTGACATTCAACGCCGATTCGTCGATTGCCGACACCAAGACCCAGATCTTCATCACACCTACCCAGTGCATGGCCTCGGTCGACAGTCTATTTGAGCATGTTGCCTACAGCATCCGTGAGTTCCTCCACAACTACCACCTTGATGAGATTGCCGTCGAGTCGCCTCTGCCTCTTGGTTTCACCATTGGCTTCCCAGTGAGCAACTGCGGCGTGTGCGAGTCGACCAAGGAGGACTCGATTGACCTTGACGGTGCCGATATCACACAGTTGCTGCAGGACGTAGTCATCCGCCACCATCTGCCGGTGCAGGTCACCTCGGTCACCAACAACACTGTCAGCGCCCTGGTTGCTGCCCAGTTTGCTGACAAGACCACTCGCGTGGCTGCCTCGTTCAACAATGGCGTCAATGCTGCGTACTACGAGCCTGTCAGCAATGTCGAGACGTTCTCGTCTGCGGGTGTGACCAGGAATGCCAAGGTTGCCATTAACACTGAGCTTGGCCGGTTTGGCTCCTCCTCTGGCGTTCTGCCGCAAACCATGTGGGACCGCCGCATCGACCGCGAGTCGCGCAACCCCGGTCTGCGTTCGTTCGAGAAGCTGGTTGCTAGCCAGTATCTGGGTGAGATTGTGCGCAATCTGATCACTGACTTTATTGACAAGCATTTGCTGTTCTCGGTCAACTGCCCGGTCAAGGAGATCAGCACAGAATACTCGTTCCACACTGCCTATATTGGCAGCATCATGGACGACGAGACCAGGGACCTGGAGCATGTCGACGGCATTATTGCTGCTGAGTTTGGCATCGAGACCTCGCTGGCCGACCGCCAGATCGTCCGTGCTCTTTGCGAAATCGTCGCCGCCCGCGCCTCGCGCCTGTCGGGTGCCGCGCTGGCTGCCCTGATCCTCAAGAGCAATGCCCATGTGGACTGTGCCTCGATTGCTCTCAGTGGTGCGCTGTTTGACATGAACCGCAAGGTCTACGAGCACACCATCGCAACCCTGCAGGAGCAGCTTCAGCGGTCGGCAGCCACAACGGCCACGGTCAGCCTGCAGCGCCGCGACTCGGATCTGATCGGTGCTGCTATTGATGCGGTCTGCTATTAAGAGCCCATGGCTCAAATATCCATCTTGAATTAGACAAATTGACTGTAAAAAACATTCCAAAAGCTTACCAAGCTGTCATACATGGACATGTCTGTGCCTGGCTGTGGGTTGCGGACCAAGATGCTGAAATGCGACTTGTCCCGCTCAAGCGCCTCTCTGACCTGCTGGGTACAGTTTGGCTGAACAAACAGCGACTGCCACTTTTCAACCATCTTCTCTATCGTCTGCGGATCCGCTGCATAAAGGTCGTATTGCGGCGATATTGCCCCGCGGTAGACGATATAGTCGCGTAGCATGGCGATCTGGCACCGCTTGTTCAGCTGGGCTAGCTGCATGATATATGTTGAGCGGAACTTGCTGTGCGTGTCTGCAAGAGCGGCTAGTGCGTGTGCATGTGCGGGCACCAGCTTCGATAGCTTGGTATCGATGTTTCGTAGGAGCAGAACGTGCTTAGTAAACTCGGCTACAACCGCATCTGTCAGATCGACGTTGGATGTATTGGATAATGCTGCCGCCAGAACCATGTTGACTGACTGACCAAGACACGAGTCCGGGTCTGTCTTTTGGAGGAGTTGGCCGATCAACACACCGCAACTCCCATCATCCATATGCGAAGCCTGGCTGCACAGCGCCTCTCCAAGTGCCAGCGCCTTTTGCTCGCCAGATCCTGTCAGATAATTGACCTCTATTTTGAGTCGCTCAGCCGAAACCATGTCGCCCTTGCTGACTGATGTGCTCTGCTGCTCGAGTAGCCCGGACGCAATCGTCGTGCTTAGCATCGACAGGGCGCTCTGCTCCCTGGCTGATTCTAATTGCCTTGAGATGTCCCTAGCTAAAGACGCTACGGTTTTGTTATTGCCGCTGTCGGATCCGATGGCGCCAGGGTAATGCTGCAATGCTGCGATTCGAACGCTATGTGGGGTGAACTGGTTGGCAATTATTCTGGACAGTATCTCCTTCTCGCAGGGCGTGTCGAGGCTGGGGTTCAGGTATGTTTGCAACAGGTACTCTTTTGACACTTCTGGGTTGTGTGAGCGCACCAGATACACGACCTGATTCAGAACCTTGCTGCGCACATGGGGCTCATCTATTGTCGGCCACAGGAGATCGACGTGTTGCGACCAGGGGATAAGCGTCTCTGTCAGATACTTTGGAGTCCACGATGCGGCTGTCTCGATAATCGACTGTTCGCCAGCAAGGATTATATGCGCTATCTGTGCACTAAGGGTTCCCATGGTATAGCTAGAGTTTATGCTGCATATTTGGCGGCAGTGACAACAGATGGCATGATGTGGCAAGTCTGGCGTTACCAGCTGCGCTGATATGGGAATGGGCAGTGATAAGTAATGGCATGCAGCACCCACATACTCCAGGGACAGTATCGCATGCGGTGCCTTCACATGGGCCATGCTGCTGGCCCAGCCCGGTACCAATTGACTGGCGCAGACACTCTATACTGTTCGCCGCCGAACCGAGCGCAGGGGCTTGATCGGCCCAAGGCAAATGGATTTATAGCGTGATCACAACAGCACGCAAGCGGCTCTCGTACTCTAGCCTGCCTTTTTCTACTCCAGTTTCGCTGCTAATTTCACGATAACCCAGCATTACAATCCAGTTTCGCAGACAGCAGCATGGCGGACACGAGCATCGAGGAGCCCCTGGACCTGGTTCGGCTGAGCCTGGACGAGCGCATTTACGTCAAACTCCGTGGCGACCGGGAATTGCGTGGGCGGCTGCATGCATACGACCAGCACCTGAACATGGTGCTGGGCGAGGTCGAGGAGACCATCACAATTGCCGAGGTCAGCGACGAGTCGGCGGCATCGACAGTACGGACCGTCAACCGCAAGGTGCCCATGCTGTTCGTCCGCGGCGACGGCGTCATTCTGGTGTCGCCGCCCTCGCGCTCTTGAGGAAAATTATTTCGCAGCAGCCAATAAAAATTTTTGTACACTTTTTTCCAACGCGGTGTTGACCAAGGAAGAAAAAAGCTCAAGTCCCACTCGGTGTGCCTGCAAGAACACAAGCAGCTCTTTCTCGCCTCTTGCTTGCTGCATGCTCTGCTCTTTGTCCGTTTCCTACGCGAGTACTAGTCGCGCTGTTTTTCTGCCTCTCGAATCCACGGCTATTAATGCACCTGGTCGTACGCGCAGGAGTACGAATCTGCCTCTAGAACACCATTCCCCAGCTCGACACCAGGCCAAATGACAAAGGCGCTGCAGACCGACAAGCAAACAACAATAGCGTCGCCGCCGCGAGCCCCGCGCGGGCGACCTCGGGGCAGTCGAAGCCGCGGCCGGCCCCCGTCCAGCGCAGCGCGCGCGCCTGGGCGGCGACTCGGGAGACCGCCCAAGGCGGCCGTTGAAGCGGGCAGCCACGGGACGGACGACGAGGGAGCGCCCAAGCGGCGTCGCCCCTACGTAAAGCGCAAGCCTAAGCCGCAACCGCCACTCGACCCAGATGCACGTGTGTTCTTCTCCAACCGCCTCGACGCACACGCTGCAGATACCGGGCGGTTTATCCCAAAGGACGAGGATCGGCTGGCTTATGAGGAGGCACAGACAAAAGCTGGGCTCGTCGAGGCAGGCGAGACCGGGGTTCAGCCCATTGTTGACCCCAGTACGCCATCGACGCCTAGTGTAGGCTCAGGTGTTGGCTACCAAGTGAAGAAGATCCGCATAGGTGGGTATGAAATCGACTCGTGGTATATTTCGCCATATCCCGAGGAGTACAGCCGCCACTCGCTGCTGTACATATGCGAATTCTGCCTGAAATATATCAAGAGCGAGTACACGTACAAGCGACACTGCTTGAAGTGTCCGTTGCGACATCCGCCAGGCGACGAAATCTACCGCGACGGCAACCTGTCGGTGTTTGAGGTCGACGGGCGCAAAAACAAGATATACTGCCAGAACCTGTGCCTGATTGGCAAGATGTTCCTAGACACAAAGACGCTGTACTATGACGTCGAGCCGTTTCTGTTCTATATCCTGTGCGAGTACGACCAGTTCGGGTACCACTTTGCTGGGTACTACTCCAAAGAGAAGCGGTCGGCACAGGGCTACAACCTCTCATGCATCATGATCTTGCCATCCAAGCAGCGCGAGGGCTACGGAAAGCTGATGATCGAATTCAGCTACCTGCTGTCTAAAAAGGAGGGCGTGCCGGGGTCTCCCGAGAAGCCGCTGTCGGATTTCGGGCTGCTCAGTTACCGCAGCTACTGGCGCCGTGCAGTCTATGAGATACTGCTTGACCCCGACTCC